AATAAATCGCTTGCGCCCCTCTTTTTTTTTGGGGGGGGGGGGGGGGGGGGGGGGGGGGGGGGGGGGGGGGAGCTCTCCGTTCGAGCAGACTGGCATAATATGTGTCATGTAAGGATTTGCGGAAGCTGTGCAGAGTTAGATCAGCTTTTGCTGCGATATGTAAACCCATATGATCCCACAGCCCTCCCGCAAGATTTGTGGCCATGCAAGGCATTCACAAAAACAAAACAAAACACACACAAAAATAAAATAATCTGTATTCCGGAGATGAGAAATCGCTCGTCAAGAGAGTCCCGGTTTTACTGCCCAGGCTTCCTGGAGCAATTTTGTCTTAAGAGTAGATGTGAATAAAAAGGCACGTAGGGGGCTACATCTCATACCGCAGCACTTTAAAGTGATTTTTGTCTCTTAAGGGGGAGATCAGCTCTTAAAAAAAATAAAAATAAAAAATCTGTTAAGCACCCCAGACTAATGCGAGCGGATAAACGTTCGTCGTGTTGAATATTGACGGGGTACATATGTAACAACTTTATCAGAGACATGACACTGGAAAATTCCCTCATCTCTAACAATCGTAATCATTGTTACAATTAAAACAATATCTTACCTTACACTGCGGAAGCTATGGCTATTTTCCCAACACTGGCCACATCCTTATAAATAAATTCTGCAGTCCTTCGGTGAATCAATACTCCCCATTCCCGACAATAGAAGTCCGGCGCAACAAGATGGTTCAGTGGATGGAAATAAAATGCGTTACACTCCGCTCTGCCCGCTCATATCCTCCCTGTCCTCTTCCTCTTCTTCTGCTGGCTTTTTCCCATCAAAACCGGAGCGCAACAAACGCACGACAGCCACCGAGCAGAAGAGAGAAATACCAAGAGAGAGAGAGAGAGGAGACAGGGGGGGAAAAAAGGAGAAGGAAAGAAGAAATTCTTGGAGTGATGAGAAGAAGCGAGCGAATTCTTTACTGTGTTACTATAAATTAAATCGTCTATTTTTTTTCTCTCTCTCCCAAATGGTTTCGCCTCTGGTAAAGTCGCGTTTCTCCACTCGTTTTGGAAAAAAAAAAAGATGAGTAGAGGGGAAAAAGAAAGAAAAGATCCTTTTGGTGGGTGGATGTGAGATGTTTGGCTTGACTTGTGAGTTATAACACAAAGAGAAATAGACGCGCTTTTGCTTGGTGCTTGCAGAGCTCTCGAAGCAAGGCTGCAATATCACGTCACACTCAGCCGCTAAGATAAAGCACGTACGTACGCTTCTTACTGCCGCTGCGTCTGGCACCACCACCACTTTCTTTCCTGCCATCCTCCTCCCCTTTTTTCTTTTTTTTTTCCTTCTTTTTTTTATATATACCCAACACAGCCTTCTCTTATTTCGAGTCAAAAGGGTTTCCCCCGTGAACTGGACCCTCCTCAGTGCTCAGACAACACTACTGTTTTTTTTTTTTTTTTGTTGTTTTATTTATTTTTTTTTCCCAAGCAGGAATATGTTCATGGAGTTTTTGTCGTGATTTTTTTTTTCCCCCCCACAGGACAGGTGGAGTAAATATGATCAGAACTACAATCCATGCGCTCTATCAATGGAACCTGGTTTGCTAGCTCCTCTCCTCCTACTTCTCTGGTGGGTCACAGCCACTGCTTCCACCTTTCACGTTGCTGGAATAACAAACGCTTGCGGGACAACTTGAGCTGTCTTCGGGAAAAAAAAAAAAAAAAAGTTGCTGCGAGTTACTTGTCTCTTTCTTTGCAGGTGCATTTTCTCCATTCACGCTCTCCTCAGACATGTGTTCACAGGGGAGCGCTTGTGTGTGTGTGTGCGTGTGTGTGTGTGTGCGTGTGTATCCTGCGCGCCTGTTCAACAACTTTCGACCTTTCCATTTTTTTTTTTTATTTTTTTTTTTTTCAAACGCTTTGTCCTGATATTTTAAGAGGCATTTATTTAACAATCAACAGTCAATTAAATCCCGCGTAAGCTCCTGGCTTCAACAGTTTGTCAGTGACAATACGTGCAACAGCCTCCTTTGCCTGCTGGCTGAATTCATGCGGAGAATGGAAACATAATGGACACGGGGATGGATCTGATTGCCTTTTTATTAAGGATGGAGAAGGGATTTGTTCACATAGGTGGGTGTTCTTTATGACAAGAGGCGAACAAATGTTTAGAGCATAATTATTTTTCAGTTTTCTTTAGCGCATAATGCAAAATCAAATATATATATATATATATATATATATATATATATATATATATATATATATATATATATATATAGATATGTATAGATTTTTTTTTTCTGGAGGCCTGTTAAATTACAGTATCCTGCAAAAGTATTCCAAGTGTTGAACTTTTTCACCTTTTTTTTTTTTTTGCCAAAATATATATATTTTTTAAATAAAAATCTTATTTGTATTCAGATTTTTTTTTTTGCTGTCAAAAGATTTTCTCAACTTAGGTACACAGCTCTGTACAATCTCCATATATGCTGTGGGTCTCTTGACTTCTTTTCTTGGTGATGCTCTCCTTCCTTGAGAGTTATTTGGGAGCTGTACTTGTTGCAGCATACTCTTCCCATATTCAAATGATGGAATAAGATTTCCAAAGCTTGTAAAATGTTTTGTAACCTTATCTTGCCCTGGTCTCTGGTGTGTGCTTTGGTTTTCACAATGTGGTTTATTTTCCTAATTAGAAGAATCATCTGAGACGTGCACAGAGAAAATGAATTGCAATTGTTTGTACTGGACTTAGTTTATTGGTTCCAGCATAAAGATGGCTGAATGCAAAACACCGCAATATGTGGTTGTAGCTTGACAAAATATTAAAACATTTAAGGACTATGAATACATTTATAGGGCAATGAATTTGTGACATAAGAAAGCTTTCATTGGATGGTTGGGTCAGCTGCTTTAATCATTAGTACCATAAACAGCTAACTCTTATTAGCCTAGTCATTTCTTTCCATCTTTGACTGAATTGGTTCCATCTGAGCAGATGCTACCCAAGAAAGTCCATTTGTTGATTTGTTTCCAGGAAGTTTCAGCTTGAAGTGTTTGTGAGCCAGCTTCACCAAAGAGTGCTCCAAAACCATTCAGAGAGCATACCAAAATAGAGCACTGTGACAATTTGAAAGAACTTGTTTTCATCCCCAGCATTCTGCGGCTTGCAGTGTTTACAGCATTGTTAATCCGTTGCCAGATTTATGACAGAGATCGCAGCAATTCTAGCATAGTTGGTCTCCATGTCGTGTGAGTGGCAGCTTTTGATTTTGGGCCTTTCCTAGGGAGCCAGTAAAACCTCGGGGGTTCATCTCAAGCCAGTCCACTTTCCACAGCCCTAATAAAGACCCGAGCAATCATGGGCCTTTTGACTTAGAGACAGCTAATAGGTGCGAGAAATTCAAGTGAAGCCTTATTGAAGAATGAAAACACTATGCATCACTCAACTCATGCACAAAGTGGCAAATTTCCAAGCTTAGGAACTTGGCCATTAGTCTCTTGAGCAAGGATGATTTTCTTTTTAGAGTGGAAATCGTACCCTGCATGTTTCAGCTTTATATGACCAGGAGGAGAGAGGAAATTCATCACCAAGTGTGGCTAAATGTGGACTAGCTACAAGATGAAAAGAAATAATAACACAGCAGGGAAGTCATTATCTATAATAGAACTGTGTGACTCAATGTGGAATTACTAAAACTGAACTGAAATGAGGGGGTAATTGAGAAAACGTGCAGTGGATTATTTACATACATTTTCCATTATTTTTGTTTCCCCACACATACCTGGACTACAGCTCGTTTCTTTATGATTTTGGCTGCATGTTCTAAAACCCAGCTGTTACTTCCAAGATAAATTTCATTCCATCATTGTTTTACGATTAGTTTAGGATTTTTTTTCCAAGGCTCCATACTGAGCCGACTGCCATAAATCCATGAAATGGCAACAAATGTGTTATATTTATTGTTGCTTAGAAGATAGAAAGGAGCAAATAACCATCAACAATAAGAAAGATCAAAACAGTGTTGTTTTACAGTCAAATGAATAATTGCATATTTGGACTCCAACGGATTGAATAACTGGTGTTGAAAAAATAAATGTACACATTCATAAAGACTTTTCAAAATATCACATTTATATCAGGTCACTTAAACTCTCACACTGCATACAGCAACTCTATATACGCCCTCTGGTATCTCCAAAGCATTTGCAATATTTCTCATCAGTTGCAAAATCTGTCATATTACTCTGTCAACTCAAGAATCTGTTTCGGCGCATAGATTTTGAATTATTCATTGCTCTGAATAAAGAATAGCCCTATTACCACCTGCTTCTGTTTGTGTGACTGAGCGTAGACCCAACCATGTGTGTGTGTGTTTGACTGTCCATTGTTACAACTCTTTGATATAAGAGCTGTTACAGCGCATTCAGGTCTGTAACAAAATCCTTAGTGGTGAATGTCAGGTTATGGATCACATACTAGGCGTCGGATTATTTATGTCTACGGCTCTTCATTCATCCATATGACATGAGTAATTTAAATATTCAAAAATGGTTTTGAAGGATTTGTGGTAGTTTCATTGTGTGGTTCTAATGTAAAAATCCAACTACTGTCAAATAGATGAACTCTTAATTGTTTTTTTTAAGTAAACTTTTTCTCAGCACTGAGATAAGACTTTGTCATGCTGGAAGTCCTGGCGACTGAAAAGTGATTCACATATGATCATGTTTGTTATTATTAATTAATTATTATTATTATTATTATTATTATTATTATTATTATTATCACTGTAGTCTTTTTCGTAGTTTTTTTCCTGATTTGTGGTTACAAAGATGCAACACTTGGTTCAAGAAATATTATTTTTCTTCTTTACCACAGGAATGCTGCTTTTTTTTCCTCTCATATTCTTAGAAACTGGTACTCAATGATTGTTTGAGGGACACAGTGGAATGATTTATTACAGTTTTACTAAAACGTTAATGTGTACACGTTTGTTGTTGGAAAGAAAATGTTATTTTGATTGGGGAAGTAAGAGTTTTCTCACCAATACTGACCTCACAATCCAGTATGTCAGCCTTGCAAATAAACATTTGTGTAAGCCATCAGAGCTGGCTCAATATTTTATAGGACCCTAAGCAGAATTTTATTTAGAGGTCTCACCCTAATTAAAGCCAATCATCCACAAGTCAACACAGCACTGGAAGTCAAACACATGGCAGCTGCATTGAGGACTAAAGCCTCTATGGATGATGCACTTTACCCCTGCGCCATTGCTGCGCACATATTACTGAAATTTGTTTAACTGCATTGTAAAACTTAGCACTTTTATTACAGAAAAAATACATCTTTTACACATAAAAAAATTATGAGATAATGAAAAATATCCCCTTTAAGTCAACAGCAGTAGTCCATTTACTTTCAAGTTGAAGTATTGGATGTTTCGTACAGCTAGTTGATGCTACTGTAATTTGAAATATATTTAGAATCTTATTTCCAGAATACGTTTATTCAAAATGAACTTGAAAAAGTTTATTTTCGCAGCAAAAAGCAAGCAGATGCATTATTGCCAGCTTGCATTTCTGATAGTAGTTAAATTGGTCATTGAGAATATAAACAGGTAAATCCCACACGTTTTCAAACTTGATCATTAAAAACACTTCAGAGACGCATGGGAAACTGTCCACCAGCACTTGTTCTTGATTGAAGCAATGATCGGAGTGACTGAAGAACTGATATTCTTTTAACTATTAGCTCTATATCATATAGAAATTGTTGGCAGTTACCTGACAAATATAATCTTATAAGTTCTCCTATGCTTTGCAAACGCCACCTAAAGTACCATCAATGGTACTTGTACCACAGTGTGAGAGTTTTGGTAGTAAGGTTAATTCTGTGCAGAAATGTAATTTCCTTTTTATCAGAAAAGCTGAGTGGCCTTCAGGATGAAGTAGGAATGGATAATATTTCACACTCTGTTAGATTGTTCTTAGTACCAAGTAACCAAAGAAAGTTAGCAATATTCATCCACAGTGAACCAGACAATCATGGTTCACTGATTGGTGAATGTGACTAACTTTTCAGTTATTTTTTTCCTACCTTTTTAGCAATACCATACATTTCATTTCTTTAATGGAAGTCGCAAATGTCAACTCATCTTGTTTTTCTTACTATGGCAATTTTTCTCAGTGGGTTTTCTCATTTTATTGAACATGCTCTCAGTGAACTGCGCCTGAAAGTTTTACATAAACAATTTCGGCTTAAATTCACTGATGAATGAGACATTTACAATGCTTAGAAATGCAATGTGAAATGTACATAAAGTTGTGTGACAGGAATGCATTATGTTATTTTTCAACATCCATTAAATCTGGGATGCAAGTTTGAAGTGAAAACTCTATTTCTTTAT